GCCTTTAGGCCTCCCTCTTTCCAAGAATTTCTCCTCCCTACCTTCCACCTCAGGGTGGTGGTTCTTTTTGAAACAGGATCTCCCTATGGAGCTCAGGCTGGTTTTAAACTCACTATGTAGCCCAGGCTGGCCTCTTGGTGATCTTCCTACCTCAGCCTCCCAAGTGCTGGAATCATGGGCAAGTGCCACCACAGCTGGCAGGATGATGGTTCTTCTCTTAATCTTTTAGACTGGTTTTCTTGAGAGTGTTCTCTGCCTATAAAACTTTTATCATAATGCCTTGAAATAAAGTTCTCTTTGATGGGTTAGGGTGAAATGTGCTGTGGGGAATCCGAAGAATAATGAGTTTTATTTTTAAAGGTCCCCATTTTCCAGGCTAGATTTTAAGTTGGGCCACAAATACTGAAAGCATATCAAGTAACTTCTGATCACAGTGCGTTAAAACTAGAAATTAGTAAAAGGAGGAACAGTGGAGATCATATAAGTACATTAAATGACATTCTCCTGAAAAACCAGCAGGTCAGTGAAGTTAAGAGAAGTTTAAAAATGTCCTGAAGCAGATGAAAATAGGAAACACCATTTACTGAGACCTGTGAGACACAATGTTAAGATGGAAGCTTATTGCAGAAAATGCCTACCCTGAAAAAGTAGAGAGCTCGGCATAGTGGTGCATGCCTGTAATCCCAGCACATGGGAGGCTGAGACAGGAGGATTGCTGCAAGTCTGAGACCAGTCTGGGCTATTTAGTGAGTTAAGGGCCAGCCTGGACTACATAGTGAGATCTTATTTTAAAAAAAAAAAAAAAAAAAAAAAAAAAGAGAGAAAGATCTCAAACTAGCACAACCTTTTTTAAAAAAACTAAACCCAAAACCAGTAGGAAAGAAATAATAAAGATCAGAGCTGAAATAAAGACCAAAAATTAATACATAAGAGCAACAAAATCATGAGGTGAGTTTTTGAAAAAATAAAATGGACAAAGCCTAAACTAATATAAAGAGAAAGGACCCAAGTCAGAGGTTAGAGGGAAACATAATTGATACTGTGGAAATATAGTGGGTCATAAAGAACTATGAACAACTATGTACTAGTAAATTGGGAAACCTAAAAAAAGGATAAATTCTTAAATATGTGCAACTAGTTGAACCATGAAGATAGAAGAAATCTGAGCAGACCAACAAATAATGAGATTGAATCAATAATAGAAAGCCTCCCAATAAAGAGCAATCAGGTACCTGAGGGCATCATTTACTACTGAATACCATGAAACATTTAAAGAAAAACTAATATCTTTTCCCAAAAGATGAAGAATTCTGCCAAATTCACTCTGCAAGGACGGTATTACCCCATTACAAAACTAGATGGAGGTATACACACAAAACTATAATCCAAGCCAGGCAGGCAGGCACAGACCTGTAATCCTGGCACTTAGGAGGCTGAGGCAGGAGGATCAAGGCCAGCCTGAACTGCATAGTGAGACCCTGTCTCAAAAAACAAACTACAATCCAGAATCCTTGATCAACACATATGTGGAAATCCTCAACAAAACACTAGCAAAATGAATTTAGCCCCACACTAAAAAGATAATTCACTGTGTTCAGGTGGGGTTTATCCCAAGAATGGCTCAACATATGCAAACCAATAAGTGATAAATTGATGGTATCAAGGACAAAGTTTTATGGCTTCTAATAGATACAGAAAATATTTGAACTTCTGCACCCTTTCATGATGAGAACTTGACAAATTAGGTATATGAGGAAAGTACCTCAACAGTTAAGGCCAAATCCACAACTAGCATTGCACAGGATGGGGAACATCTGCACTGAAAGCTTTTCTGCTAAGATTGGGAGCAGATAAAAGATGCCTTTTACCAGTTCTGCTTGACATAGATTTGGAAGTTCTAGTCAGCAGCTAGGAAAGAAAAATAAAGTACCTCCAAACTGGAAAGGAGGAAGTGAGATTGTTCCTATTTGCAGATGACACAGTTGAATATATTGAAAGTCCTAAAGACTTAGCAAACTTTCAGACTTAAATTTAGTAAAGTTGCAGGATGTAAAACCAACTTACAAAAGCAGTGTCTGTGTATGCTCAATAGTAAACTATCTAGGTAATTAAGACAGCAATCCCATTTGCAGCAGCTGGAAAAACCAACTGGGAGTAATTTATGTGGGACGTGCAAACACCTCTGTAGTGAAAACTGTGAAGTATTGATGAAAGAAATGGAAGAGGACACAAGTAAATAGAAAGCTATCCTATGTTTCTGCCTGGAAAAGTCAGTATTGTTAAACTATTCACCCGCCCCTATGCCGTGCACCGATGCAGTGCTCCCCCTGCTAAAATGTCAGTGTCACCCATCACAATAGGAAAAAACCCTGAAATTGTAGTGGAACTACAGAGGGGTCCAACTTCAAACTAGGCTTGAGCAAAAAGAGCACAGCTGGAGGCATCACACTGCACAGCTTCAAAATAGGCTGCAACGCTATAGTAACCAAAATAGCATGATGCCAGTATAACATAGACAACAGAAGTGTGCAACAAAAAATCAGTCTTCAACTGGGGAGCCACCGCATAAGTGTGACTGACCCCTGCAGGTTCTGTCCACCGTTGGGGGCCATGTGTGCTGCCTTTCAGACATCCTGCTGACCATACTTATTTAAAGAGCAAAGTGGAGATGTTTTACAGCCTTAACAAAGTCTCTTTCGGAAAGGTCTCAGGCAGAAGTCACTCAGGGGTGGCTGTGCATCACCACAGTTCTGAGACGCTTCATATCTTAAAAACCAGGTTTGACTTCTGATTCTTCCCGTCAGTTGAACTTAACACAGATTTATTTAACTTTACTGAATTTTTTTTTTTAAACATTTACCGGAGACAAACATCATTTTTCCTCTTACATAGCAAGATGTAGCTTAAAGTTAGTTGAGCTATTAGGATTGTCAGTTGCCATGAAACTAAAAATGATTCCACATGTCAAACTCAAATAGAAAATTCCATGCAACATATATCACTAATAGGCCTCTGGTGCACTCAGCAAGTTTTAAAGTCATATAAATGATCTGACAAAAGTGCATGATCAAATGACAACACTGATTTGTTATAAATCACAGTGAATTGCTAGAATACAAAAATATACTTCCTCTCAGTGGAGGTCTGCAGAATGGGGTGAACATTATAAAGAGTGTCTTTGTAAGCGGTTAGTCCAGTCAGATTTTATTCCCCAAACATGTACCTCTGTAAGACTCCTTAGGAATTAGCTTATCGGAATTGTAGTTTGCAAATATATTAATGGGCTTTAGTAGTATTTACGTCATAAGTCGTTGGGAGAAATAAGTTATACGTGTAAGTATACTTGGTATAGAGTATACCCCCAATAAATACTGGTTGATTTTTGATAATGGGACATTGTTTAGGTACCTAACCTAAAGCTGAAACTTGATCTGCTTGTTGAAAAAATGTATGTAAAATGACAGGAACTGGTAAAAAGATAATGCATTTCTTGTATTTTCTTTATTGTTCAGGGTCAGAAAGAGAGATGCAATATAATTCATTTAAAATTTTGTTGAGAGGGGCTTCGTAGTCCTTGAAGGTATCAAATATCCACATTTTCACAAAGGGGAGAGAGCAACTTCTGTGAACCTTAGATAAGAAAGACTAACTCCAATCCTGGTGGGAACTTTTGTATTAAATCATTGACAGGACTGTTTCTGACCTCTTAAAGGTAGTGGCGCCTCCAGGGTTACTCAGGTTTGCTGACAGCTTACAGGCATACCCAGTTTCCCTTTTATGTGATACCACCGTGATGAGCCAGGAAAATTAACCACTTATTATGATGAGATTTCAGGAAGATGTTTAACAGTCTCAAGATGGTCTTCTGGACCAGATCAGTTTTATTCAAAGATTTGCTGATTAGTGAGAGGGAGGCAGCTTCCGGTAGCTTTGTTCTGGTAGTGACTTAGATAAAGATACTGATTATTACATGCTGATCATACTTTCAAAGGGATAGAGGGGAGAAAGAATGAAAACCTGCAGGATGTCAGAATCCAAATCCAGAAAACCTTATGAGCAAGAGTGTAATAAGATGAAATTCACTTACAAATAATGTGTAAAGCCTGTGCTTGGGCCTCTGAACCGGCTTATCGGTAGCTTAGCGGGATCGAGTGTGAAAAAGAATTAAGTGCATTAGAATTACTGTCAGGTGACATTCAAATACTGTATAAAGCTAGTGCAGTTCTAGCTTGGACTAAAACTTGTTAGCTCGAATGGGGAAGCTGAGATCCTGTTGTGTTGTGGCCAGCCTGATCTGATTTCATTTTAATAAGAGTCCCACCATCTTAGGTCCTATGCAAAGGAATGAAGAAGCGGAATGACATGCTCGACAGAGGGATGGTTTAAGGACCTAAGTGCTTATTTTAGAAAAGGCAGTATTGGGCTGGGAATGTAGCTCAGCAGTACAGTGCCTGCCTGGCAAGCACAAGGTCTTGAGTTTAATTCCCAGCATGGAATCCCCCCCCCCACTCTCCCACCCCCTCGTGCAGAAAGAAAAGGCAGTGTTTGGAAGCTGCCTTTAGGTATTAGAGGAGGAGTGCTTATTTAGAAAGGGAGTTAAGTGGCATTATCAGAACTTTAAAAGCCTTTTCAGCATTTGAATCTAGCTGTAGAGAAAGTTGAAGAGTTCTGTTATTGGTGTCCACTAATGTTGTGGAGGGTCAGAGGCATCTGAGGAATAAATGTATTGGATCAACTGTAGCTCCTTCAAATACAGAGATTCTCAAATGGTTATGTGAATAAATACATGCTGCCAAACAGGAAGTTTTTAGTAATTCCTTAAGTTTAATTTTTTTATAGTGTTCCCAGGATGGTAATTAGGCTTTATCTCACAGGTTGTTTGCTATTTTATGTCTTTATTACTTCAAGTAAAATAACATTAAATATAAAGCAGCACCTAGAGATTTTGCTGGACTGTTTCTTGATAATAATTAATGTAATTGATAAATGTCCCCCTGCAGGTGGTAAACCTGTTGATGGCAATTTTGCTGACGGTGGAGGTGACTCATCCAAATTCATTGCCAGCTGTCAACATTCAGTATGAAGTCATTGGCAACTACTATTCATCTGAGAGAATGGCTGGTAGGTTTCTAGTTGAAATTATGCCTTACTAATTTTATACATATGAAGCCAATTTATATCAATGAAATTATGCTCAAATTATAGCGCAAAGGGTTAAGTAAGTTGCATACTAAAGATAACAAAAGTTAAATGCTATTTAAGCTACTTGTATTTTGATGACTTTAAAAACATAGTGCGAATTACACTAACAGATTTCTAGCCAGAAGAGGAAATGGACTGACTACCAGGCTTTCGAGAACTCTGTGTCCGTTGTGTACCGTGACACTATCAGATGGGGTACCAGGGTCAGAAGGGAAAGGGCAAATAAAAACAAAATGTAAACCTTGGAGGGCCAGTGGACTGGTGTAGTTGGGGTAGGACATTTGCCCACAGTTCTGCAGACAGTTCCATTGTGTATATGGAGAGAGATTTAACACTGGGGTTGCAAATATTCTACCCGAAATGTTCATGCAAATGGTCCTTTGAAGCCTTTCTGTTCCTGTCTTTTTAAAATAAATGTGCACTCGAGACCATAATCTTAAGTGAAATAAATCAGACACACGTATAATACCACATTGTTTCTCTGGTGTGAGAAACTGAAAGTGTAAATAAGGACCAAAATGTATAACAGGCATTGTGAAATAGGAGGAAAATGTTCAAATGGGGAGAGGAATAGGGAAAGGGGAGAGAGGAAAGAAGGGAAATTTTTTTTTAAAATGAGAAAAAAAGAAAACATGGAAACAAACTTGTAAACGGAGAGGGGAGAAGGGGTTGCAGGGGAGGGTTGGGGAATGGGAAAAATTATATCACATACAGGTACAAATTTTCTATGATGAATGTAATCATTGTATGTAGAATATACCAATAAAATCTGATTGGAAGAAAAGGAATCTGATTGGAAGAAAAATTCTTAGTTGAGACTTTTATTGTAAATTATGTAAGAACAATATTTGAACAGAATCATGCCTCAGACTTTCCAGTGCAGACAGCTTCTGCATGGCTTTTAGTTTCACTTCAGAGAAATGTTCCCAGTCACATGTACGTTTATAATATTGCAGTATCTTATTTCTCAAGTTTTAGATTCATTTTAGTATGTTCCGAGCTTCAGTACATTTATGGCCTTCTGTGATGTGATCCATATATGAAGGTTTATATCTCTTTAGTTCAGATTTATTGTAAGGTTAATTTCATTTATCCAGGAACCAAGAATAATTTTGTGGCTATCATATAGTAACATAAGAACAACTAGCAGTTTTGTTTTTGTTTTTCTGGAGTTGAACGTAGAACCTTCACACGAAGCTATAACCACACCTCCACCCCCACCCCTTAAGACAGGGTCTGGGCTAAGTTGTTCAGGATAGTCTCAAACTTGTGATTCTCTTGCCTCAGCCTCCCTCATCTGTAGTTGATTCTGTGACACTCTGGACAGACACTCAGAGACTAAAGGGTGCTCATAACTGCGACCTCATTCTCCTTTCCCATTTTAGTATTTTTTTCCTCCAGTAGACTTTGAACTTCACTTACTTTAGTACTTCAGATGTCAAAATAGTAATGGAGTCACCCATAAGACATTCTGAAAAGCTGATTGTTTCAGTTAGAAATTCTGCTTTCAATTTTGATAGTATTCTGTTCAGTTTTATATTTTGTTTATATCTGAATTTGCCCGATAGCAGAGAAGTCTTTTAAATTATCAACATTGGGGGGCTGGGGATTTAGCTTAGCGGCAAAGTGCCTGCCTGGCAAGCGCAAGGTCATGAGTTCAATTCCTGGTACCAGAAGAAAAACAAACAAACAAAAATAAATCATTAACATTAGTTATTTTGTATTTTCTAAGAAAAAATAGAGGACTCATTAGTTTAGTGCCAAATACTGCTGATATTTTACTGCTCAGTGGTAAGATTACTTATATATAAGATAGCCAATGGTGTGAATGCTCAGCAGCTATTCAGACGTTCTTACTAGTTGCTTTAGTTTCTTAGTATCTTTCCAGATTCACAGATTCACTATAGATTTGTGCAGAGAAACTCAAGAAGTCTATTGTGTTCTAATATGGTTTGGGGTTATTTGGACATTCTATGAAAACATTTAGTGAGAGCAGGTTAATGGAGTTGGAACAATATGAAAAAGAGTTCAGAAACAAAGAAAATAGAGACCTGCTGGAAGGGTGAGGCAAGAGGATGAGTTAGAGCCCAGCCTGGAACGTAGCAAGACCCTGTCTCAACCAAAAAGAAAACACATCTCTAGTACAGAAGCCAGAGTGAAGGAACACAATGAGTGTAACTGGGAACTTGGATGGCGATTAATCAGTGGAGAACTTTCGCGTTTGAGGTATTTTCTCTAATGCAGGAGGTGGCGTCTATTTGTGTGTGTGTGTAATACATCTGTTTTTTAAATGAACACTAGCTTTTCCTTCTTCTTAAACCCTATTCATCTCACAAGACCCAACTTGTATTATTTCTTTGATATTTTTGTGATTGCTCAGGCCAAGCTAATTGTTACCGCCTGTATTGTAGCACACGCCTACTGGGTTGTAGTTACCCATTTGCACACCTTCAGACCAGCAGACCCAGCAGACACGGGGACTGTCTGTCTCCCTAGCTGAGTGCATGGTCCGTCTGCCATCCCAAACTGCAGCAGTTTAACGAAAAAGACCTTTGTATGGATTTCTCATGATTAATTTCTTAATGCTGAGACCTAGGTGGTTTTTCCTCCTTGGCCTTAGATCTTTTTATAGACAATTTTGAAAATATTACATTTAAATATCTTTAAGCTAAAATAGTATGTTTTGTCATGAAGAGTTGTGTTCTTTTTTGTGTTAAGTAGCTTAATTAAATTTTTACTTTTTTTTTCTTAGATAATGCCTGTGTTCTTTTTGCTGTCTCTGTCCTTATGTTCATAATCAGTTCAATGCTGGTGTATGGAGCGATTTCTGTAAGTATGCTGTCTTTTGATTTTTTTTGAGTTTGATCTTTACTGAGTGGTAGTTGCTGATTTCATATACATGCTAAAATGTTATTATTTTCTTCTACAGTATCAAGTGGGTTGGCTGATTCCATTCTTCTGTTACCGGCTTTTTGACTTTGTCCTCAGTTGCCTGGTTGCTATCAGTTCTCTCACTTATTTACCAAGAATCAAAGAATATCTGGATCAATTAGTAAGTATAATGCCAAGTAAACTTTTTAAAGGTTTTTAAGTAAAATATCTTCATGGAAATCCTAAATCAACCTTAGCTACTTTTTTATATTCATTTACTTTTTATTTTGCTTTATTTTTTGTCTTTGAGACAAGATTTTAGCTGTGCAGTTCAGACTAACACTTTATAGCCCAGGCTCCTCTCACATTTGCAGCAATCTTCCTGCCTCAGCCTTCTAAGAGCTGGGATTATAGGCATGCTGTGCCACCACACCCAGCCTATGCATTTAAAGTGTTTACAGTTACCTCCATATTAAAACGTATAAGGTGAAGATAGTACTGTAAACATGTACTAATAAAAAAATTTTTGAGGGGCTGGGGATTTAGCTCAGCAGCACAGTGCCTGCCTGGCAAGCGCAAGGTCGCGAGTTCGATTCCCATTACCGGAAAAAAAAAACCAAAAAACCAAAACCAAAACAAAAAACCCCAAGAAAAAAATTTTTGAAAGATGAGTATCTTCAGTCATACATATTTAGACAGTCCAGTATGAGAGGATCCGAAATATGGATTGCATGGAAGTAGCATTTCAGCTCTTGTTTTTCAGTGCACCAAGAGTGGAATCCTATTTGGTGCTCACTGAATGATTGGTTTTGTCTTTAGTCATCCATAGCAAATAACTGTGCCTGCTGTGTCACTGGCCCTGTGCTAGGTACCACTGGTGAATGGTGTGGATACAACTTCCTTTTCTTTGAGGAGTGAACTATATATTTGGGGCATCAAGATATATAAAGCTGTTGACTTAGACAATAAGCTGGAGCTGTCACAGCAACAATAAATAAGGAACTTACCATAATGCCGTATGGTGAAGGGGGAAGGGAGCACATTGGGATGAAGTACCCAAGCAAGACTTCATGGAGTTTTGGAAAGAACGGTGGAGTCCATACAGGCGAAAACTGGGAGAAGGGCCCTTAATTTCCAAAATGTTACCCTTTAGAACTTCTCTCTCCACTTCCAGATTTCCTGTCTAATCCACTTTGCACACCACCAAATGTACCTCTTACTCATTCAAAAAATGGGAAAGGCATGCTGCCAGGTCCTAGAGATATATCGGTGGAGGAGAGAATCAGAAGTAGAGTAGGCAACTGTGTGAGTGGTATTGCACAGAAAGTGAGATTTTAATTGCATTGAGGGATTTGAGTTGAAATTAAGAGACAGCAATACTGAAGGAAAAGAGGAAGCTGGGGCCGGGCCTCTTGGCCCTGCTTTAGTGGTGCTCTGATGCTTTTTAAATAAGGTCTAGAATTCTTAGCTTAGTGCTTTTCCGTGCATACAAGTCACATTTATGAACATGTATTTTAAGTATTGTACTTGCATGAAAGACAGAAGCTTTTAAGAAAAGGGCATAGACTGGGGATATTGCTCAGCAGCACAGCGCCTGCCTGGCAAAGCTCAGGGTCATGAATTGAATTCCTAGCACCAAAAAAAAAGAAAAGGGCTTATGGGAAAAAATACCAAAATGAATTTGCTATTTTATAGATAGCGTTGTATTTTCTGTTTGACTCACTTAATGCACTCCTAGACTCCTCTTTGCTGATGCCCTTCTTGGTAAACTTAGCTCGTTGCCTTGCCCACGGTTAGAGCGAAATGAGTTTTTTAAATGAATGTAGCCAGTCTTTTTCAGTAGAACGTAGTAAGTCATATGATTTTGCCTGGCTTTTTGTCAATCTCATGAAGAATTTGGACCAACAGGTATCTTTTAGAAAAACTTGTTTCAGTCCATGTAGGATGAAATGACTTGTAGATCCCAGTACCTTCTGATTCACTGACCTAGACCTGAAAGATGAGAAATAGTGGAAAAGAGAAAATTATCTCAGTTTAGACCCTTGCGGAGTTAAATAGTAGGAATTAAGGTAAAATACAGAAAATAATGTTGTAGGGAACAGAGAGCTCTTTCTAGACGACAGTATTCTTTAGGAGTATTCTGAATATATAAACAAGTATATTTTAAGTGGTTGATAGCATGTATTAGTGAAAATGAAGCACTTTGACTCATAAATTTTTTTTTTTTTTTTTTTTTTTTTTGGTTTTT